TCCCCGTATATTCAATCCATGAGTTGATTATATCGATTTATATATTTATGTTTTTATATGTGATTGCAAGTTTTATCATTAATCACTTTCTGTTTTAGTTAAGTTCTTTTTTTCATTCTCAATATAAATTTATTGATATATAATCATTGTTTTGTTTTTATTTAATATTTAATAATAATTAAAATATGTATAAATATACAAGACATTTACTTAGAAACAATATATGCGTACAATAGTAATAATAATAATTAATATATGTATGTATTTATATATATTAAAACTATAATTAAATGTTTTATCAAGTCATATTTTTATTTTTTATACATTAAAATTAAAATATTAATCTTAGCCATAACAATTATTTAATATGAAGACAAAGAAACAAAGATTTCGTTTTTTTAAGAAAAATTATAAATATGAAAAAGTATATATATGTATATATAAGCATGTGTTAAAAATAATCAAAGAAAAAATATTTTTTAGTGTTAACAAAACATAACATAAAGTGTATTAAGAATCTTTTTTTTTATAAATATTTATAATATTTTAAATTTATTTATTTGTTATTTTTTTATTATAATTTTAACATTATTTTTATGGGTTCTTGTGTTTTTTTCGATTTTTTTTTACAATTAAACAATGTTTGATGTCAAAAGTAGTCGTAGTTACAAATTAAATGTATTTTTTATATATGAGAAAAAATAGTTATAAAAATGAGTTTATATATAATTTTTTCGGAAGGCGGTAGTTGGGTTCTAAACAAAATTTCAACAATTTTTGTTTTAGGCCCATTATGACCTTCCCTCCCCTATTTTTGTATTTATTATTGTTCACACACAAAATATTATTTTAATTATTATTACTTTGTTTTATTTTTTATATAAAGAACATTATTTCTTATCATGAAATTACAAAAAGAATAACAAAAAACAAAATTATAAATTGCATTTGCATTTTTCTTTTAAAGAAAAACGTTGTATTTTTACAAAAAAGTATTAGAAATATTTAAGTACATTCGTTGGAAAGAGCAAGCCAAAGGTTTTTTGTTTAGGGGGAGAGGGAGAAGGAAATATTAAAACAAGCCAAGAATTTAATATTACCGAACAAAAATGGAAAATTAATTACATTGAAAGGTCTTAAAATCGTTATCGAATAGATCCAACATCTGCATATTCAAGGCATCCGACTTTACGCAAAGCCTTCTATATGTAAAATACCATTAGAGGATCAATATGAAGACCTCTCAAAGGTCCTTAAAAAAATAATGTGACTTTTTATAGACAGAAGACCCTCAAGGGGGAATACAAAATTTAAATTCTCACACATAGACACCATTAGATGGTCTTCTATAAACGGGAATCCATGTAATACTACTAATGAGTTCCCACGAAAACAGAAAGGTCTTCGGAATTAAACACAGGTTTTATTATTTATAATCAAAGATGTGCGGATTTTATGGTAATCAAATCTGATATTCAATTCCCATCTTCGGACTTAATCTAGGATTGATAAATATATATATAGGTCGTGCAAAGTTTGGCTTGGACTTATATGTATTGAACATGTTGACTATTTGTGGGGGAGCTACTAGAAGGAGTGGACCCATACGTGCCATCTTCGGACTTGATCTAGGCTTAATAAATATAATATACTGTACCAAATTTGGTTCAAATCGGATAGTCCGTTCGCATGATATTATAAAATTAAATTTCAAAAAAAAAAAAAAAAATTTGACCATTTTCAGAACATCAACAAAAGTGGACCGATATTGCCCTTATTCGAACTTGAACCAATTTTGGAAGAAATTTTAAAATGTGCAAAATTTTGGATGAACTGGGTTACTCTCTTTGAGAGTTATCGTGTGCACCAACCGGTCAGAGAGACAGAGAGACGGACGGAAGGATGGACATCCAAACAAACATGGGGTCTAAACACATTTTTACCGTATCGAAGTGTATAAACCCTTATTAGCCACAAGGTATAAATATCTTCTCTCAGTAGGGCGCATTCCAAAAGATTTTCCAGAGTAAAAATAGGACAGGTCCAAAGGCATAAAAAATAATACCATTAAAGGCCTTCATAGGTCCTACTCCCAAAGAAGCATTTTAAAATACATAGAAATATTCCAGAATTAAGAAGCCTTCAGACCATTCCGACCAAAAAAAATATTATATTCTCATTTCATCTTAAAAATTCCGCCCAGCTCTTTAAGGGCTTCAGCTGAGTTCTAAAGACTCACTGCCTGCTTCAGCTCTTTAAAGGCAACCTTCTTCAGATTATCTTCAAAGAATCCTTGCATCAGTGGCCTACGAAAACTGCCTGCCTAAGTGGACCGATATTGTCCATATTCGAACTTGAACTATTTTTGGAAATATTACAATGTGCAAAGTTTTGGATGATTTGGGTTACTCCCTGTGAGAGTTATCGTAGAATTATCGCACCAGCTGGCCAGAGAGACAGACGGACGAGTGGACATTCAAACAAACATGGGGTCTAAACCCATTTTTGCCGTATCGAAGTGTATAAACCCTCATTAGCCATAAGGTATAACTATGTTCTCTCAGTAGGTCGCATTCCAAAATATTTTCCACAGTAAAAATAGGACAGGTCCAAAGGCATAAAAAATAATACCATTAAAGGCCTTCATAGGTCCTACTCCCAAAGAAGGCATTTTAAAATACATAGAAATATTCCAGAATTAGGAAGCCTTCAGACCATTCCGACCATTGCAGAGCATTCCGTACAAAAAAAAATGATTATATTCTCATTTCATCTTAAAAATTCCGCCCAGCTCTTTAAGGGCTTCAGCTGAGTCCTAAAGACTCACTGCCTGCTTCAGCTCTTTAAAGGCAACCTTCTTCAGATTGTCTTTGAAAACTCCTTGCTTCAGTGATCTACGATAACTGCCTGCCTAAGTTTGTTTTTAAAAACTCACTGCTTCTGCTCGACTCACTGCTTCAGCTCGTCTATGAAGACTTATTGCTTCAGCTCATCTTTGAAGACTCCCTGCTTTAACTTGCCTGAAAATACTCCTTCCTTAGGTTACCCTAAAGAGACTCCCTTTAGTTAATTCTAACACCTTGCCAACAGTAGTACCTTCAGAGGATTCTACAGCATACATAAAACTAACCTAAAGGGACTCCCTTTAGTTAATTCTAAACATTTACCAGTAGTAAGGTACTACTGCAGATTCTACAGCAGATTAATTGGTCTCAGGAGCCAGTACTTGGACTCATCTGTTAATTGGTTACTTGCTATGAGAAGTACACGAATAAGTACCTGACTACGGAGGTAGCATTCGAAAAATACAACCACGGCAGGATAGTTCGCCTTAGATGTCATGATGGCTGGTAAGGCGACCAGGAAACTATAATCGGCTCAATAAAAGGCCACAGGTGTTTTTACAAACGAATAATTTTTCTCACAGACAATCTCAGATAAGTATCTGGTTTTACAGAACAGCAGAAGCTAGTTGGTCTTAGGGACGACTAATTCATCTCACATGCGGAGTAACTGACCTCAGCTTCCATCAGAAGCAACCCTAGGTCATATAATTATTTTTCTACTCTGCGCGGAAAATCTAACCTCAGCTTTCATTAGAAGCAACCCTAGGACACAAAAGTATTTTTCGGCTCTGGTTACTCCAGGAGGCTAATATAAGGAGACTTATAAAATCTGTGTAAGGGCGATTTTCTGTGATAAGCGCGATAGTGAAATCAGAATCGAATTTTACCAATGAAACTATATGTATTTATTATAAAATAGCTGACATTAGGGTTCATCATTGACAAATTAGGTAGTCTTAGAGGCACTACTGTCTCTACTATACATCTGTGACTTAGTAGTAGACCCGAAGTAGTCTTGGAAGTCTACTTGTTACTCACATCACTACTCATTCAAACAGATTTCATATTTCTCCTGTGGAGGTCCTCCAACAAATACATCACGGTTCGTAATCGTTTTTTATCAAGTTTCGAAAAAATCCCTAGCCATACATAAAAGTTTCTAAATTAATTTCAAATAGTGGTAGCGTATACACAATGACAATACGTATACGCCAGTGGTAATACGAAGTAATTTACTCAGTTTTAAGGCCGAAACCTCAAAGTTTCTTCCACAAAATTTGCTACATATTATCTAAAAGTTATTAAAAAAATATTTATACACTTCCTATTATACTTTTCTATTAAATTTCAAGCTTTCCTAAGATGTCAATGTGAATTTTCGTATCGAAATAGTGGTAGCGTATACATAACGACAATACGTATACGTGTCATTACTACATAACGACAATACGTATACATAACGACAATACGTATACGTTTCATTACTAACACTAAGAAATAATATATTAAATAATTTCTCCAAGTTTTTGATAAATTATTTTAAAAATTCAAAAAATTCCAAACAAAACTAAGAGAATCGAAATAAAAATAAAATTTCCATTGAATATTGTAAACATATATTCAAAATACCGAAAAAATTTAATTGCGGATCGAATAAAGTGTCGCGTTTAAATGTCGAATAACATAAATTCTAAAATTTTATCTAAAGATCGAACATTTTGTAATTAAAAAAAGTAATATATTTTGCATTAAAATAAAATATTCCCTTCTGTCAGAAATTGGAACCAACATGGCTTGCCCTTCCCTATTTATATATAAACAACAAAAAAATCGAAAAAATCACCTTCCAAATGTACAAAAGTTTGAAGGCAAATTTTAAAACCCAACTGGGTTTTTAGTTTCCTAACCAAAAAACAAAGCAGAAAACTCTTTCAACTGAAATAATACCCCAAATAGGTTTCTAGAATTTTGGCACATAAGTCAGTTATGCAGTTTGCGCTTCATTTGTAGATAATGACAGAGGAAAGAAAATAATGGAAACCTCCAATAACGGCTGGCGCTGCCTTTAATAACCAATACTATCCATCAATCATTCACACATGATTCCTCCACTTCCCTTCCCATTTCCATATTTTCTCCTTCCCCCTTTTTTAATTTTATTCAATTTTTCATTTACGGCGTAACAGCTACGCTACCCATCATACCCATACACTGCGGCTAAAACGTTCGAAACTTTTTACCCCAAATCATATTCAGCTGATGCTAATTATTATTTTTCCAACGTTTGAGTAGTACGCGCCAGCGATTCTTACGCCTTCGGGCTCAAATTTGCCATATAAGTAAATGATTCGTGCTGTCTTCGCGTCCAGCAATTTCACTCAACGAATTGGCGCCCGAATTACGGAAATCCTCATAGCCATCACCACCGGAAATAATCAAAATATTACCAGGTGTACTTGTTGCAGAATTGGCGGAATTTTCACCTTTCGGTTTGGGCGACTTCGATCCAGCACATGTTGTCGTTTCATGATCCTTATTGTTGTCCGTACTCGATGTATTGCCGGTGGCGCCAGTTGTCTCGACATAGGTGAGGAAACGTACATGTCCCGTATGACCATGCGGTATACCGGTGGGTACAACATTTGGTGCACCCTTTTCGTAACCCTGGGAGGGTATTGTCAGTAGTACACCGGCACTGGTACCAATCCAAATTAGATCGCGACACGATAACAGTGATGTGACACGCAAACAGGCGGCCTTATGTTGGCGTATAATTTCGTCACAATTCGAGAGCATTTTATTCACAGCCTGTGCCAAATTAACTTCGGTGATTTGTTGATGTCTGGAAAAAAAGAAGAAAAAATTGTTAAGAATATTTCAAATATTTAGGAGATTTCAGATATTTATAATATTTTCTTTCTTGGAGTCATTATTCAAAACCACCTTCCTTCCGATTAAAATTCAATTCTGTACGGCCATACTGCCTCAGAGGCAGTTCCTAAGAGACGTGGGCGACTCTATAAGGAACTAGCCTTTATGGGCCTTAGGATAATGTTGTAAAACTCAGAGGAATTAATCGCAATTTATCCAGCTTCGCAGGGCTCCACTTAGAAATAATAGATCCTAGAGACATATAGGAGTCGTGCTCAGCGCCATCTGCTAGAGAGTAGGTGATATTCGAGCCTTCTTATCTCAAGAGAAGCAAACAAGAGCTAAGAAACCCACTTTCACTGCCTTCAGATAATGACAACGAATATTTCTATATCTAGGTGTTATCAGAGACAACAACCAAATAGTAAAATAATGTGTGTGGCGTCCTTTTGGTAGTGCATATGCTCACAAAGCCATCTGCTGAGTAGTAGTTTATAATTTTACTTATTTATAAAATTTAGCTTCGGATTCCACATCAGCAAGTGATAAGGTATATAGTATCAGTGGCCTCCGATATAGCGTAGGCGGATTCAGAGACATCTGCTGGGGTGTAGATGACTTCAGATGCTTCCATGACCTTAGCTATACATGACCTCAAAATCCACGACTACTAAGTTGAAAAGCGCCGAACCATCTACCATTCAGTTAGTCTTCTACTATGGATATCTGTTGAATTATAACGGATCTCCGAGTCTCTATTTTGAAGTATATGGTATCAGAGATCTAACCCAACTACTGCAACTCTTAAGAACAAGATGGTAGCTGATTTCAGAACCCTTTACAAAACAGTATAAAATGCATTAAAATCCTACGACTTCATAACTCACAACCTCTGAGCCATCTACCTTAATGTATCTGCCTTACACTATAGAGACCCCAGCGACATCTGTTGAATAATAGTGGACCTCCGAGTCTCTATTTTGAATTATATGGTATATAGGCCAAGAATGGAATAGTAATTAGTAGCAGTGGTCTCCGCTATTAGACATTTGCTAAAGAGTAGCTTCTGATATAAGCTGTTTTAAAGAGGGGGTCTCTGAGCTCGCGAATATAAATCGGGAAAACCCAAAGTTCATTACCATTGTGTAGAATATTAGGTTTTGTAATTAGGCCTATCTAAATCAAATTAATATTAAAAGACCCTCTACTAAATGTATGTGAATTTGGAGACATCTAGTAGAGAATACCTGAAGTTAGTTCTTCAAATTATAAAAATACGGACATCAGAGCCATCCACAATTATCACCTCAATCCAAAAATTGCTGGAAGCTTTAGCGAACTCAACTATAGCTTAGTTGATTTTAGAGACACCTAGTTAGGAGTAGATAGCCTATGATCTCTGTAGATCACTGCCTACACCGAGTAACCTCTAAGGGAAAATTGCTGGCCACACGCAGACTGAGCAGGTAACTTTAGATACCTCTAGAAAACCGTAGAAAATATTACTGACAAAATGTATGACATTATCTCAAAATCCTTACGTACGGCCTTTCCGTGATATTTGTGAAATATTAGGTCCTCTACTGAAACGTATATTCATTTGGAGACATCTAGTAGAGATTGGTTGACGTAAAAATCCGGACATCCGAGCCATCTACAAGTACCCGTCTTCTCAAACCAATATAACAGGAAGCTTTAGCGACCTCTATTATAGATTAGTAGATTTTAGAGACATCATAATAGAAATAGCGAATCTGAGATCTCTGTGGATAATAACCTACGTCAAACAAAGATTCAGACCAAAAGTAGGCGAAGTACGAGTAAGTAGCTTTAGAGACCCCTACTGACTATAGAAATTATTATTAGCTGACTGGTTCACCTCAGAAGCAATTACAGCCTTGAATCTGATCTTGGAAGCTATTACAATACCTGGGTTCTTGGTTTCAGGAACCGCGAACGCTGAGTAAGAAACCTCAGCGACCTCTACTATAGATTAGTTGATTTTAGAGCCATCTAGTAAATAATAGTAAACCTGTGATCTCTGTGGACAAATATCTATTGACCGGATGTAGAGACTCCTACTGACCCTAAAAACTATTACTGACTGTCTATACTACCTCAGAAGCTATTATAGCCTAAAATCCGAGTTATTACAATGCCTGCGATTTTGGTTTCAGAAACCACGATAACAGAGTTGGATGCCTGAACAGCTGAATAATTATCTCAGAGGTCTCTACCTTGAGTTAATAGCCTTCAATGCTGTCTAGATGACTTGTACTGCTGAGTAGTCGCCCTAAGAGCACTCAAGGGTAAAACGAATGATATAAGAGATCTCTAGCCCTCTACCGTTGAATAGTTGGTCTTAGTGTTATCTACGGCTGTGTATAATTTCTTCTACACCACCAAGAGAATGTAGATGGCCACAGAGGAAATTTATTGTCCTGTTGAGCGACTTGAATAGTTACCGATTCTTCAGGATCAGTCCATACATTCTCAGAATTTGTAGAGGAGTCTTATATTTGCCCAATAAAATTCTCGACCTCTCCTTGTAAATTATTTCACGATTCGTCTTAACTTTTCTAAAACGATCATCAGAAGTATTTCCTGAAGTTGGTCCAGTCCATACTTTCTCAGAATTTGTAGAGGAGTCTTAGATTTGTCCAATAAAATTCTCTACCTCACCTTGTAAATTCTTTCACGATTCGTCTTAACTCTTCTAAAATGATCATCAGAAGTATATCCTGAAGTTGGATTTACAAATAACTGCTTCCCCAATTTGCCTTTAAGATATGCAAGATTTTTTATGTCTTAAAAAGAGGTCCTAGTCCCTCAAAAGTAAACAATTTTCTGGCCACCCGTATAGACTTCCTGTTTTCGTCATCTCCCCCATAAGGAGTCTATATAGTCCCTAAAGACTCTATACTGGTTTAAAAAAATCGAGGTCCAATTTCCAGGTTCCTATATAATCGTTAGAATCTTAAATATATGCACTTACGTATTGGAATGGTAACATTTAATATGCGCTGAATTTTGAATTGAAATCCACACATAATTACTGGAGACACACATATTTGTTATGGGTTTTGAATCCGTTGAGATTTGTATTTGATTGACCACCTGAAAAAATCAAAAAAACACACACATTACATTAAAAACCTTTGGCTATTATCTTCAATCGTAATTCTACATACCGCCAAAGTTTCAGTATCCAACACTTTTATTATGCCCTGTATTGAACACCATAATTTGCCATGGACATTGAGTAACTTCGTTACCGGACTGGTCACCGTTCCAATAGATAAACAATGTGATGAAGTTGTATTCCAGACGGCTCCATCACGTAAATAAACGCATATATCGCCATTGGCCAAGGCCACAAATACACGATTGTCCAGGTACCTTTTTAGAAGGAATAGAGAAAATTAAATTAATATCTGAAGAGGTAGTTGGGGGTATAAGGACTTACAATATTGAATAGACCGCAGCATGATGTTCAATCTTGATGCGATTCTTTTTGATGCGTATATTATCGGTACTATTGTAGACATGTATGCAACCATCTTCGGTGCCAATCCACATGGTCGATTGATTGCCATCACTTTCGTCGGGGTTGGAATCCTAGGCAAAATTATAAAAAAGCAGATATTTAGTACACTTTAGGAAGGAATGATAGAAAAGTCCCATAGTGCGTATACGTTGCGGCAGCATGTATACGCCTCTTATTCTACTAAGGCTATCTTTTTAATAATTGTGCGTATACGTTGTGACAATATGTATGCGTCCCTAGTCCCCATTATAGTTTCAGTATTATTAATCGAAAGGAAAATCCATTTCCGTTTTTTATAATTTCTAATTAAATTCAGTTTTTTTCTTAACCTCCAAGCCTCCGCACAACTCTTACCTGATGTCCATGATACAATGTGCTGCTGCTACCAACAATAGCCGTTGATGCTGTCGACGTTGAACCGGTTGTATGTGTCGATGGTGCCGGACTGGGTACCCGTTCACATATACCGCTGCTATTGCTGTTACCAACACCGCTTGACGAATTCACCCCAACACCACTGGAGGATGCAGCTGCCGCAGCATTTGCTGCCTCCGCTTCTTCATCACTGGAACTTAAATTTAAATCTAATTGAATATCACTATTATTAGCTCCTGCGCCACCTGCTCCACTTGTCGTTGAACCAGCCACCGAACTGCTGCTACCACCACCGGCCAAACTATTCGATTGTGATTTGTCACGTTTCTTTTCGGGTGTACCAATCAACGATGAGGGATTGGAATAGTTGGGTGAAATGCTCTTACGATAATCCAGCAGCTGTTGGGTATAACTGAGCGGAGGTAAGGAAGAACGCTGCTGCTGTTGTTGTTGCTGCTGCTGGTGGTGATGCTGATGATGGTAGAAAAGGGCACATAAAGTATTTTGATTATAAAGAAAATCTAATGTAGCTCTATCTGAGGGAGCTCACTTGAATTAGTAGCTTGCATCAAAGGTACATACTCTAGGCTCCCATGTTTCAGAGAATTAGGAGAATCTGTTGCAGAGATCAAATAATATTGGTCAAAATAATATTGGCTACTTAGGTGAGCTGACATTTGGCCAGTTATCTAAAGTAAATGAATCGAAGCCATCTAAGGTCTGATATTGCACAGACGAAGCCACAGGTGTATTTAATAAAATATCGGAAGAAATAATAAAAAGATATATAGAGCGTATACATGGCGACAGCATGCATACGCTCCTATTCCCCATAACTCTTCCTTCATAATAATTGTACGTATGCGTTGTGACAACAT